ACCCTGTATATTCGGAAATAATTTCCAGTTATAGACTTTTTTGTCTAGTATATTTGTTTTTAAATCATAGAACTCAACATATCGAATTCGAACGCACTATTGCCCCACCCTGTATATTCAAATTCCCCACCATAATTATAAAATATTATAACTCAACACAAAATACACGAACAAGAAAACCGAGCTATTAAACTGCTTGTTGACAACCAAGGACAACTGACTTGCGAAAATGTCAAAGGTAACTACGGCTATTTATATATTTTCTTTGTGGATAACGGCCGACAAAGGAAATAGGTATAGAGTCCGAGGCTTTTTGTACTTTTCCGCAAGTCAATTTTGCTTCGAATAACTTAAATGTATGGCTCGGTTTTTCTATTTTTTAATATCTTATATTGCAATACACCTGTAAGACTCGACACGCAAAATGGATATATGTTGAATCCAAATATTTTCCTCTACTGAAATTTTCAAAACTTACACCAGTATTTCATTATCGTATCGATTAAGGTTTTTAGAATCTGTGAATATATGAATTGATGAGTTGTTACATTTTTCATACACTAACAACTAACCATTTCTTTTTTCAAATGTTTTAAATTATATATTATGATAGCACTATCAATAATACATTAACAAAATCAATAAAATAAATAGAGATATGAGTGGAGGCAAACAGGTATGTGTTTTTATTGACTTGACTGAAGCCTTCGACACTGTCAATCATACAAAATTATTAAAAGCATTAGAAAACGTCGGCTACAGGGGGCAGCACTTAAACTTAAGTCTACCTAAATTAGTGAAATATGGAGTCCCACAAGGTACGGTAGTGGGTACCGTGTTATTCAATATCTGTATTATTGATTTATTCCAAGTAACCACCCAAGGAGAAATTATCTGCTGATGCTTTTTGAATCAATAAATACTCCCATTCACAAAATACCAGAAACTACCCCTATTGCCATTAAAAAATGATAACCTTGACCCTACATCACTGGAGGGAACAGTGAAAAACTTTCATAATATGCACAAGTGTACTTAATTTGTACCTTCTAAATTTTGTTTTATTTTACCATTTACTTTGGATTTCCAATGTATGGACTGGCGATACACATGTCGCACAAGGTAAATGGGACAAGAGGTGAATAATACATTGTGTGAAATATATCTAATAATAATAATAATGATAATAACAATAATACGTGCAAAGGACCGGCAACCTCCACGTTGGTGCACCCTGGACAGGCAGAGGCAACTCTGCCTGACAAATGCCGGCCGGGAGTACCAGAGCTAACCACCCTGGTACTCTTACTGCTATGGGTTCCATACAACCTAAGAAGGGCCCCTCACAATCGACCTCAGTCAGATAGAGGTCAAGGACAGATGGGAGGGGCCTTACCGGACGGTCCTAACGATGACGACAATGCTATTGCACATGGACGCTTTAAGTGGACGAGGGAACTTCGGGATGATTTGCTGACCTGCCGCGAGAGTAGCGAACCTGAGCGAAGGGGACACATGGCGCGAATGCATGCACTTTGGTGCGAAATGCATCCAGAGCATCGCGCCTTCTCTCAACAACATCTGAGAGATCAAGTATCCTTTCTGCTCAGGACAGGTTACGTAAGGGCACCCCGTCAGCTGGAAGAACTGCCAGCCGCAGTCCCACCGCGGCAATTACCAGCTGATGGGGAACATCCTTTAGAGTTCACCGATGTAGACTTAAGGACAAGGGTTAGCCTTAACACCAGGGCTAACCTAAAGCCACAAGACCTGGCTAGAATGGACGAGGTCATCGATGAGGAAATTCCAGAAGATGTAGACATCTGGCAAATCAACTGTGCCGTGTACAACGCCGCGAAGCAACTCGTCCCCCGTGAGAGGTCAACCAATCACGGGGTCTATAAAGCCAAGCGGCGTGTACAAAAAATCGAAGGCAAGATACAGTCGGCCAGACAACACGCTTCTCGGATCCAGAGTGTGGTGGAATATAAGACGACTGGTAGAGTTTTTACTCCCAGGATCCGGCGCATAGCTGCCGGAATATGACGTCAACACCATACTCTAAATCTAACAGTGATGCTTACCATCAAGCAGCACTGTCTAGATAGGATCCGAGCGCTCATGGCGATAAAGAAAACATTGAAGAGGCGGGTAAGGAGTATGGAACAAAACAATTTGTTCCGTACGAATCCCTTCCCGCCTCTTTCAAGAGCCACAGCGTGTTGTCGAGAATCCGCCGACTGTAGAAGATGTCGAAACCGTCTGGAAGGGAATCTACGAAACGACGCGTCCATTCAATAGCGACACTCCATCAATTGCACACTTTGAGGCTCTGTGTCACAGACATCTTGAAGAGCCAGAAGAAGTGTGCCCGGCAATCAGTACGGAGGAAGTCCAACAAGCACTTGTTGGTACCAAGAACTTCGCTGCCCCGGGCCCAGACGGCATTAACAACTGGTGGTGGCAGAAATTTCCTTCCACTCACCGCCGTCTGGCGCGAGTTTTCAACTCATGGTTGAACGAGGGGCAGCAGATTCCGGACTGGTTCGTCGAGGGACGTACTGTGCTTATCCCCAAAAAAGGGGGATCTCTCCGACCCGAGGAATTATAGGCCGATCACTTGCCTTAACTCCTGCTACAAGATATTTACACGTATCTTGTATGCTAGGACGCTGAGATCTGTTGATCCGGTCTTCCAGCAGATACACGAACAGCGTGGTGCCAAGAAGGGCATGGCAGGTTACAAGGACAGCCTGCTGATAGACCGCTGTATTACACAGGATTCTGTGCAATACAAGCGGAATCTATCGATGGCCTGGATTGATTACCGCAAGGCATTTGATACAACATCGCATGAGCTATTGTTGTACTTGCTCGAATGTCTTGCGGTACCAACACCACTAGTGAGATGCATAGAACAGCTGCTGCCGCTCTGGAAGACCCGCTTCACCATAACATCAGGTGCACAGCTGGTCACGACAGAGCAGGTGGCATTTAGGAGAGGAGTGTTCCAGGGTGACTCCCTGAGTCCTCTCCTCTTGTGCATCTCACTGCTGCCGTTGTCTGTTGGGCTCCGCCAAATCCGCGGATATCAATGTGGGCCACCCAGCGACCGGAGGCATAAGGTCACCCATCTATTTTATATGGATGACCTTAAACTTTATGCCTCCGGAGAGCGCGAACTACAAAACGCTCTTAGGGTGGTCGAAGAATATACGCGGGCAATTGGTATGGAGTTCGGGTTGGTCAAATGTGCAGTCGTCCACCTCAAGAGAGGACGATGCGGGGAAATTCCTGAAGATGCGCAGCTCGCAGACGGAAGCATCCTAAGACATCTGGATGCCGGAGAGACCTATACATACCTGGGTGTGCAACAAAGGCACATCCAGGATGTATCACGTATAAAAGATTCTCTCCGCGGCAAGTACAGACACCGCCTCCGAAAGATTTGGTCTTCCGAACTTCCGGGGAAGAACAAGGTGTCTGCAACTAATATGCTTGCCGTTCTGATTCTGCTCTATTCCTTCGGAGTAGTAAAGTGGAGGGTAGATGAGCTGCGTCAATTAGACAGAGATACCCGCAAGATGATGAATATACACAGAAGTATTCATCCTAGATCGTCCGTTCCTCGGGTGTACCTCCCACGTCAACGGGGGGGCCGAGGACTCTTGAGCCTGGAGTGTACACATGGCAGAGTAGTACTGAGTATGGCATGTAACATACTCAGGAGCTCAGATCCCCTCTTGCGGTTCGTAAAACATCACGAAACTGTAGGAGTGGGAGCAGGATTGTTCAAGGCAGCAAAAAGAGCCGCAGATGAACTCAGTCTCGCATTTGACATCAGGCGAGGAGGCCGGCGAGGTGCTGATGTTGAGTCAGTCACCGAACTTCAGCCAAATCGTCTGAAAGCCCGAATTAGATCTGCCGAACAGGAAAATCTGTTTCGGCAGCACGTCGATAAACCCCAGCATGGTGTCTTCTATAAGAACATCGAAACACTGGGTTTATCGACCAGGCTGACCTTCGCCTTTCTAAGGTCAGCAGGGCTTAAGTCGGAGACCGAGGGATTCATTATGGCCTGCCAAGATGGTGTTATCAACACCTTGGTCTACCGTAGCCGCGTGTGGCGTGTAGAGGTTCCCTGATATCAACTGCAGGACCTGCCATCAGGCGCCGGAATCGCTCATGCATTTACTTTCTGCATGCCCCATATATGCGATTTCGGCCTACATCCACCGACATAACGCGGCCTTACGAGTGCTATACTACCATCTAAGGCACTCGTACGGGGTAGACCAGACACCAGTGCTGCCTTACGTCCCCGGAGATATTGAGTCCGTTGTCGAGAACGAGAAATGCCGGATTTACTGGAACTACTCGTTCCCGACTGTCAGGCTAATCCAAGCCAACAAGCCTGACATAGTCCTCCTCGACCATCAACTCAAGGTGATGTATGTCATCGAGTTCTCGGCACCTGCGGAGAAAAACATCACCTTGAAGGAGGAGGAGAAACGGACCAAATATCGCGATCTCCAGTACGAGCTCCAAGTGCTGTACCCAGGCTACTCGGTCAAAATGGTCGTCCTTATTATCGGTGTACTCGGAGGGATAAAGCCTACGCTGCTCTCGGAACTGAAGATCATACCGGCCTGCCAAAAACCAGCCGAGTGGCTTGCAGGTCAAATGCAGAAGGCGGTCATTCTGGGTTCTCTCCGTCTGCTTAGGGCACACGATTCTGGTATCTACAGTCACTAACCCTGCGGGATGTGGGGAGTGGCTGTAGTTGATGCGCCGGCGCGACTCCCGTGAGGCGTCGGAGGCCACGGGAGGACTGACCGGCATCGGGAAACCGAAAAAAAAAAAAATAATAATAATAATAATAATATAATAATAATACCACAGAAATTAGACAACCCCCGAAATCCAAAGCAGAAGCTGTCTAGAAGAGGTTTATACTTAGAAAAACGTGGACATATAATCATTCCCACCGACACTGCCGGTGCCGGTGGCGGGATTCGAACCCGCAACTGCGATAGACAGATTTCTAGTCATGCTTGACATCGCGCGCTCCTGCCAACTGCGCCACCTAGTAACCGGTGATACACACACACTGATGATTTTCTAACAGTTAATAACGATCTGTTTAAATAAAATATATTTTTTTTTATATTATTTTCATTACAAAATGTTTTTTTTCAGGTCTCTTAGATATTTAAAGAATATATTTCATATTCTCGAAAAACGTTTCTTATTAATAATTTTCAGTAACATAAAATATTGAACGTTATGGTTAATATTATTTTAATCATTAAAGTGGATCTCATTAAATGTATTATGTTAGTGCTAGAAGTGACGGTTTTGTATTACTCGGACAACATTGGTATTTAATAACTTACAACACGCAAAGGTAGCTTACTAAATATGACTAATTTTAAACGTGCTTGAAATCAACAAAAACGCTATTAATAATTTTAAAACACTTATGATATTATCTATATAAAATAAAAGGCTTAAAATTTATGGTACTCTCTAGAATCGTATGCCACAATCTTCCAGGCAAAGTTATTTGCCACTGACAAATAAGGAAGAAGTCAAAAATAACACGGAACAATTAATATACAAACAGGGGTCTGAAAGCAGTCTGTTCTCCTAGGACGAGGTCAGCCCTTATTCAGGAGGCCGTTAGGCAGCAAGAGATAATACTTGTGGGATTTTCGAGACATACAGGGGTTCCAGGAAATGAAAAAACAAATGAATTTGCTAGGTACCGAGGAACCCTTGGACCTGAACTTATACTGAGTATCACAAAGGGACAAGTCACTATAGCATTCAATGAATGGGCTTATGGGACATTAAAGAAGCATTGTAGGTTAAGCAGAAACTGCTGACAAATACGAGACTTTGTAACATAACTGAAAGACACTGAAATAACAAATGGGAGTTTTGACAAGCCACTGCAAACATCGGAGATACCTGGGATGCCATGGAGAGTCCTATCTGTCCAGGATGCGGAAAGAATAAAGGAATATCCTACTATTTCTTGAAAATAGTTTACACATTTAATAAGTATGAAGTAGAAGAACTTTCCATTAACCCTTCTTCAAATTAGATGAACAGGTTCCTTCATTTAAGTGGTCCTCGCCAATTCATCTCCAGGATATGTTTGATTCAGATACTGCCTTACTGAAGCGTTATTCACGTTTTTTTTTAAAATTTGTTAGTTTACCCAGAATATTAGTTCCTTCGAAATTAAACGAGTGCAAAAAATATTTTGAGTGTTGCGCCAAACTTATAGGGTTTTTAATTATTTTATTTAGATTGGGAATATTTACGCAATCTCTAACATGTTCCGAGATTATAGTTTCAGATATCTACCTGTTTGTCCAATATATACATACCTGGTCACACTCCTTACATGGTATCTCGTAAATGATGTCAGACTGTAATTCTTTCGGAGTTTTTGTTTTAATTTTACTGAAGCAGTGTTTTTTACATTGTTTTCACTTTTGGATGTTACTTGTCTTGTTTCGTCACTTAACAATAATTTCTTGAGTTTGTTTGATAAATTTTTTACATACGGTATTTTGTAATATACTTTATTCTAGTCTAATGTAGTTTTCGTGTTTTCTCCATATATACTTTTATTAATAAGTTTTTTTGGATAGTTGTTTTTAATTAGTAAGTCTCTTACTAGACATAAGTTTTTTTCCATATACTTTTCATGTGATAGATTAGTTGCCCTATATTTCAAACTGTTGATAATATTAATTTTGTGTCATGGGATGCTCTGAAAAGTAATTTAAATATCTTTCTGAGTGAGTTGGTTTATGATACCAATCAATTTTAATTTTAATATTTTCACGAATAAGAAGTGTATCCAAAAACGGAATTTTATTATTTTGCTCTAGTTCAATGATAAACTGCAACCTTTCATGGAAGCCGTTAAATGTTGTTAGTAACTCCTCCGCCTTATCAACAGGAATGCTTGTAATTATGTCGTCCACGTATCTCTTAAAAAACGGTACAGAAAAACTTAATTTCAATAGACATATTTTTTGCAATCCTGACATCACAATATCAGACCATACCAACGATAAACAGTTCCCCATTCCTAAGCCATAAATTTGATTGTAAATGTCATCATTGAAGCTAAAATAGCTGTGGTCTACAATGAATTTAAAGAGTAGAATTCACTTTGGGGAATTTTTGTATGTGGTTCTTATGAGTTGCCAACGCTCTTTAGTTATGTCTGTAACTAAGTCTACTGAGATATTAGTAAAAAAGGGACACTACATCCAACGATACTAAAATGTAATTTTCCGGTATTGTTTTGTTGTTGATAAATGAAGCAAACTGAAAAGAGTTTCTTATGTAATGGTCGTCCTTATTAAACGCATGTTTTAAAAGATCTGTTAAAAATTTTACTTAATTTGTAAGTGGGACTGCCCACAAAACTTACTATCGAGGTCTTAATGGTGTATTTTCTTTGTGTATTTTAGGTAGTATACAATTTTGGAAATACACCTGTGTTTGATATTAACTTTCCTGTATCTTCTTTAATTAGATATCTACTTTTAACTAAATTGTTAATTAATTTGTTATGTTTATTCTGTATAGTTTTTGTAGGGTTGTTATTCAGTTTTTCATAGGTTGTAGTGTCGTTTAACATCTCAGTAGTCTTACTTATATAAAATGTTTTATCGAGAGCAACTGTTGTATTTTCCTTGTGTGCTCTAGCTATTACTATTACATTGTGCTCTTTTAAGAAACGTGATGTCTCATAAGCATCCTGCAATATTTTGGTAGAGTTACTGTTATTAATTTCCTTGTTGCTATTTAAAAAAATTGTTATGATATTAATAGCTTTGTTTCGAGTGTCAATTTGCAAGTTCTCATCCTGTATATTATTTATTATAAATTCAACGTCAATTAATAATTGTTGTATCGGTATGCTTCTCTTGCTGACACAGTAGGCTAAAATAGAATTTCACCGACCAAAACCCAAATTTGTCGAATTTAAAATATATCCGTAATACTTTGTTAACAGGTAGAGAACATACCAACCCTTCCTGGAATAGGTCTAGGAATAGAATCTAGGGGTCAATATACTATTAGGTATTAAGCAACGCAGGACTGCAGGAGTGTTTAGTTGATATGTAGCTTTCATAATGTTCGCACGTCTATCTATGGTAAAATTTTGAGGTGTGATATTTTTGTTGTTCATCATTTGACAGAATTAAGTTGGTATGTATAGGAAAGCTTTATATTTTAGCTGTCTATTTATTAAAAAAAAACAATACATTTTTCTTGAATAGTACTTAGTTTCAAGGTATTACTTGTGTGCAGCTAATTTGATAACTCTAATAAATATATTTTTAATTTATAGTCTCTTAAAGTGCCTGGTGCCACGATTTCTTAATAGAACGATTACATTAGGTCCATATCGTCTACATGAGAAAGATCAGCTACGGGTATTTGCGGTTTTGTTATTTATTTCAAATTATATCATTGGGTAACATGGTAGGGGAATAAATCTCTTCTGGTAGTTGTCGAAATTTACAATGAGTAAATAATAGTGATAAAACTTTTGTAGTATTCAGTTTTTTTTACTACTTTTTTTTATTTATTTACAGGAAGATATGACTGAAAAAAGAATTAGTATGCGGCAAATTTTTGAAATATGGCACGAAGCTGGTTCTCGACGTGATAAGATCCAGCAAGTACAGAGTCAAACCTTAAATCTTGTGGGCAATTTCACAGAAAAAGACGAAGAAATAGTGGCTAATATTAAACAAAGCATTGCCCTAATTTGTAATGAAATTAGTCGAAGATGGGTGGAAAGTAGTAGCAACAAAACTACATTTTTATCGAAGTACTCTACTTGGTTGCAGAAAGAGTTTGTTTCTTCTTTACCACTTCCTTCAGTCGAAGGTATAGGTTTATATAAATCTCAGCCATCAACATATGCAGTAGGTCGTCCTGTTAACGATTTTCAGTCAAGTAGCGATCGATCTAAAAGGCGAAAGACGGTAAAGTTGTTGAGAAAAGTTACAACACCGGAACTTACACACGCAAAACAGATTAAGCTTAAGAGTACAGGACAACAAGATGCTGTCGTGCTTTTTGCACAGGCGAAACAAACAACACCTACAAGGGCTTCTAAGATAAGAAAATCATGGCTTAAAAAACGTAGAAGCCCACAAGGATACTCTGCAGATCAAGCGTTATCTCTGCTGGTCGAATGCAAAGACAGTAAACACCAGTATAATACACATAGGAAGTTTGCAAGAGCTAATGGGGCTAATATATATCCAGTATATTATAAGATACAGGCTGCAAAAAAAATTTTACCCTGCTCATGACAAAATTACTGTTACTGAAGGATGTGCTGAAGTTGAACTTCAGGCACTTCTTGATCATACTGCTTCACATACCATTGAAGTGCAAGAAGAAGTTATAAAGACGTTAAGCAGTGAAAGTAACCAAAACATCATTTTTATAACGAAATGGGGTTTCGATGGTAGTAGCGGACATAGCCAGTATAAACAAAGATATGTGAAAGGATTAAATTTTAGTGACTCTGATATCTTCATAACGATTTTAGTTTCTATTGAGACGTACGTGGAAGATCTCATCCGACAAGATTATTATTTGGCACAACCCTAGAACCTCATCTCCAAGATATTGTAGACCCGTAAGAATTCAGTTTATTAAAGAATGTTCCGAGTTGTCTCAAAACGAGTACACTTATATTAATAACCAAATTAACAATCTTGACAATTTGAAAAGACTACGGAACCTTACAACATAAAAGTTATCCACAAACTAGTATTTACTATGATCGATGATAAAATATGTAATGCCATAACAAAAACAACCTCAGCTCAAAAGTGTTATTTGTACGGGACAGCCCGAAAGGAAATGAATGACGTGGACAAAAGTGTTTCAAGAAGAATTGACACAATTGCGCTCAATTTTGGTTAATTAACTCTACACGCGTGGATTCGTTTCTTTGAGTATTTCCTACATTTGTCGTACCGTTTAGAAATAAAAACGTGGCAGGCAAGAGGCCGAGAAAGAAGTGAGAACGTTCGTGAG